TGCCGTAAGGAAAGCCAATGAATTCAAATGGATTCACACTTTAAGAACATTCGCACCGGATGGCATTAACGATAAGATGTAGTCCCGAGGGGTCCCCCACTTTATTGTTTACTCTTTTTCCCCACTGACCCCTTTGCACTACAATCTTTAAATTCCGTTAGCTATTTCTCTCGTGTGCACCTTTACTTTTGGAACTCGTATTATCGACTCAGCTCAAAACACCTGGCACACTGCCAGCACTAGGCCATAGAGATATCCCATGACGTCACAATAGGGACGTTCACTACTATTCCTACTTTTGAAAATGAAGCACATCTGTGGAATTTGCAGGGAGATTTTCACGCGCTCATACAACTTGAAGCGGCACTACCGTAGCTTTCACATCCAGCTTAAAGGGTCTATCCCGATTTGAACAGAGCCTCAAAAATAAAAATCCGAGTACGTATGAAATTTAAGCACCAAAATATAGGAGTGGTGTATTTAGTTTGTCTCAAAATTTCAGCTCAAAATATTGAGTCGTGTGGACGTGCACGTCGAAATTGCTTATCCGGTCATGTAATCGTTTTAAGATTTCGGGTCAATTGTTTCGTTGGATGACCTGAGATTCGATTCCCGTTCCTTTAGAGGTCTATACTGTGAATGACCCACGTGCTATACTTGATAACGAAAAGTAAATTTCACCTAAACATTATCTTTATAAAATAAAAGTCTGGTTTTATCAGACACCAAATAATACTCCTTGGGACACAGATCTCCATTTAAGTTGTTTGAAAACATATCATATATACTGAGTTAGTTGCTCGGCCCTAAGTTAGAGGATTTTAAGCTATTTTTACACAAAAATAAGCAGTTTTATTCTCCAAAATATTATCCGGATTGGCCCTTTAAGTTCTGGTGTAAATTGTGCAACCAAAATTACAAAAGGTTGGATGATCTTACCCGTCACCAGAAAACTAAACACCAAGTTGATATCTTGGACACCGCTGTGAAACAAAGCATCGGTCATCTTTCCCCTCAATGTGAGGAAAGTTGTTCAAGTAATAGCATCAAAACCAGGGTTGCTACTATTACGGACAACGGAGGTAAAATATGACAGTTTGCCTTGTCCTATACCATTCCCAACCATGAGTAACTGGGAGGCCTTTTGTGAAGGAGTCGATCCTTGTCTCGAACTAGAGGCCTGGCCACTTTTTCGCACATTGAATCGCGATGATTTGGCAGAATCAAACATCAGCAAAGAAGACTGGTTTTTTTTACAACGTTTCAACAGAGAAACGCAAAAACAACTTTGTGAGCTCCTTGTTGAATTCAAGAAAGACTTTCCTAGAGCCACTTTTCAAAGTATGCGAAATAGTAGCGTAATTCTCAGCCTAACTCAAGGCAGAATATGAAAACAGGGACGAGTTCCCATTTAATCTAGCCGTGGTACCCCCACGGCGATAACTAATAAAAAATTAGTGCATACACGCCCTTAACCTAATAGAGTTATTTTTATTCCCTCTCTAGTTTAGAAAAGTTTAAACTTAAAGTTCAAAAGGGTTAGGAGCCTTGAGTCAATGCTAATTAGCATAATCATGACGGCAAATTTGCACACTTTTCGGAATAATCGACTCCGGTGCCAAAGATTGACTCCGGTCCATTTGTGACGTCACGTGCTCCGGTGCCCACCAAGACTATATATAGAGGGCCACCGCACATCCTCATTTAAGCCTGAAGAGTTCAAATAAGAACGAAACTAGTAGCTGAGAGAAATCTGGAAGGGCTGTTCGCCTACTCACAGATTTTTTACTACTATATAATTTAAAGTTTGGATTTTATAGCAGCCAATAATTGATGGATTATATCTAAGTTATAGACGAAGATGTAATGATACGTTTTAAACAAGAGCATCGGTACCGCTGCAATATACGTCCACATTCCTGGGGGGTCGGGGCATGCTCCAATATAAATAATTGCTGTCTTTACGGTATAAGAAATAAATAGCAAAGTTCCAGGATGATCCATTCAAAATTGCAGCCTGCAGACGATAAACACAAAAATTGGGTGTGGCTCTGCCCCTGGGGGTGGGATATGGAACAATATAAATAGTTACAACCTATGGTGGATAATGCTAATTTGATAAAAATATATTAATAATTGTAACCTGTAGATTTTTTACAGACAAAATATTAATAAAAATAAGTTTAACAAAGGCTATCAGAAAACACTCACAAAAACCCGAATTTTACATGGGAGACAACTCTTTAAAGCATATCACGCCGAATTTTACATGGGAGACAACTCTTTAAAGCATATCACGCCAGTTTGACATTGTTAGACGGAGTTATCTCCTCCGAACCAAGTGAAACCGAAGTCTGAAATTAAATCCCAATCTGACAAAAGTACTTAATATTCTTAAAAGACAAATTATTAATAATAAATTTGGTACTAAATTATAATAACGAATGACACCCAAACATAAGACTTTTTAAAAATGTACATCCTGAAAACGCACATGTACTTGCAGTTACATGAATTTATAATTTATTTAGTGTGAGAGAGAGAGAGAGAGAGAGAGAGACATTGTCATTGCAGTACCAAAAGGTCTTTAGCAGTGGGAGGAAAGGGGGAGAAAACGGTGGTTTGAAACGTCAACAAATAACCGGTATAAATACTTCTAACACTTACAAAGCGTTCTGAAAAATAAGTTGAACAAAGGCTCTCAGAAACCACTCACAAAAACCCGAATGTTACATGGGTGACAACTATTTAAAGCATATCACGTCAGTTTGACATTGTTAAATGGAGTTTGACATTGTTAAATGGAGTTATCTCCCCAAAATCGGGCATACACCCAAAAGAAAAGGGACCAACCTCAGGGTATAAGGAATATGTATTTTAAGTTTCAAGATGATCGATTTAGAATTGTGGCCTGTAGGCGACACACAAAAAGAAAATTGGCATGGCTCTGCCCCTGGGGGTTGGGCATGTAGGGCCTACTCCAAATGATAAGGATGTTCCAAATGATAGGAATGTTCCTTAGGGTACAAAGAATAAGTATATAAAGTGTGGCTCTGCCCCTGGGGGTTGGGCATGTACCCCAAACGATAGGGATGTTCCTTAGGGTACAAAGAATGTGTATGCAAGATTATAAGTTAAGAAATGTGGCCTGTAGACGACAAACAAACAAATACTAGAAATGGGCGTGGCTCTGCCCCTGGGGGTCGGGCATGCACCAAAAACAATAGGGATCTTCCTTGGGGTATAAGGAATAAGTATACCAAGTTTGAAGAAAATCCAGTAAGAATTGCGCCCTGTAGGCGACACAAAGACACACGAAAAGAAAATGGGAAATGGGCGTGGCTCTGCCCCTGGGGGTTGGGCATGTACCCCAAACGATAGGGATGTTCCTTAGGGTACAAAGAATGTGTATGCAAGATTATAAGTTAAGAAATGTGGCCTGTAGACGACAAACAAACAAATACTAGAAATGGGCGTGGCTCTGCCCCTGGGGGTCGGGCATGCACCAAAAACAATAGGGATCTTCCTTGGGGTATAAGGAATAAGTATACCAAGTTTGAAGAAAATCCAGTAAGAATTGCGCCCTGTAGGCGACACAAAGACACACGAAAAGAAAATGGGCGTGGCTCTGCCCCTGGGGGTTGGGCATGCACCCCAAACGATAGGGATGTTCCTTAGGGTACAAAGAATGTGTATGCAAAGTTTCAAGATTATTAGTTAAGAAATGTGGCCTGTAGACGACAAACAAACAAATACTAGAAATGGGCGTGGCTCTGCCCCGGGGGGTCGGGCATGCACCAAAAACAATAGGGATCTTCCTTGGGGTATAAGGAATAAGTATACCAAGTTTGAAGAAAATCCATGAAGAATTGCGCCCTGTAGGCGAACCACAGACACACACACACACACACACACACACACACACACACACATACATACATACACACACACACACACACAGACAGGGGCGACGGCATAATACGTTCACATTATGAATGTGGACGTATAAAAATTGTAAGTTGTTCATTGTTGCATACATTTTGGCCGAATGTACAGTGCGTTAGAAAAAAATCCTAACCGATACAGAATGCCGGTAAATGTTTTCCCGAGATTACCTAACTCATTTTGCTGTTATTCAAACCGGCCTGTACATTATACATGTACACGTTTTCGCGGCAGCATTACTGTATTACAACTCCTTCATTTAATTATAGACAATATTATTTCGACCCTAGCTTCTCGCGAATTCTTTGCGGGAAGCATGGCAAAACACGATGTAACGTATCTCGGGAAATTCAACGGCTCATCTAACAAATGAACGCCCTTGATAATTGAACGGGAAGTCCATTTTTAAACGTATCTCGGGAAATTCAACGGCTCGTCCAATAAATGAACGTCATAGATAAGTGCATGGGTAGTCCATTTTTAAACGCATCTCGGAGAAACTAAAGCCGTTGCCATTAATCTAAAACATATTACTAATTAAACCATTTTTGTTATTCTTCAACGATTTTTATCAATTATCAAACACGGTTTTGAAGTTAAACAGTATGAATAGTAACCAACGCTAAAAAACCCATATTAAATGATACCATATTTGTAGTGATAACTCTGGCAGTAATTATCAGAAATCGTTAGAAATCAATAGGCTTCTTTGTCTCATGACCTTAAATACTGTGTATAAATCTAAAGTCAATCGAATAATAACTTTAGCCTCCCCAAGATATTTCAAAGTGATCAAGGAACATGACTCTGACAGTAATTATCGGATATCATTGAAAATCAATAGCAATTGTGGACGCCGGACAGACGGGGGCGACGACAATATACGACCACATTTCAATGTAGGCGTATAAAAATGAATACTACCGGTACATGTTGAAAATGCTATCATTGTTTAGTCAAAATCTTACCACAATAAAGCTAAAATAAACATCCTGGGATTATAAAAAAACATAAGTCTTATAAGTAGAAATGTCTTTGAAATATAAATGACTTACCATTATCAAGTAAAGTAAGAATATTAACAACAGTTTCCAGACCAATAATGCGAACATAACTCTCTTCATCATTGGTTAACTCTACCAGTTCTGGTAATATTGCACTCTTTGTAGCTTCTAACCTAAATTATATAAGTCATCAAGACAGCATGTTATGTATTGGTAATGGCATTAGGCGTTCTAGAAAAATTAAACATACTTCTCCTCATGCACAATATCATCACTATTCATTAGATTAGATGTTCATAAAATAGGTTTAAATGATTTTAAAGATACGTTCCTATGTACAAACAGGGTGATTTGATGATGTATTTGGACTAAAAACATATTCAAACTAATACTAATTAATCTGTCAAAATTTTTGCTTCAAATCCTTCTCAAAACACTGTTTAAAAGAGGTCATGTTTGTGTCATGTGACTTAGCTGACGAACTACCTAGCAACGGGTGCGAAGTCTGAAGAGAATTCATTGCATACACAAGACGATGTTGTCTTTAATCGCTATTCATTTATCATAAATATTGAAGCCTAATTAAATTCTCAGATTATCCACTGCCCAAGTCTTTTTCCGTGATTTTTATCTCAGCAAGTGTTGTACGTCTAAGTCTCCATAAAGTTTATTAACATGTACATCATCAAGTGATCAATCTCCGCGTGCAACCATTGACGTCACGCGTGGACTGATAAAATATACAAGGAAGACCCAGAATTCTACGACGATTTTATACCATATCTGGTGGATGTATTCGAAGAAAATATGTGGTAGTTAAAACTGTACATTAATAGTTACGTGTTCAACATATGTTCCCAGATTTCATTTTATAAATTAAATTGCTAATCAATATAATACGAGGACGTATTAAAAACAGTGAGGAGGATATATAACTGTGCTGGTTATATTAAAAATGGGTTCCTGCGTACAAACTGGGTGATTTAATGGTATATATGGACTAAAAACATATTCAAACTAATTAATTTGTCATAATTTTGCTTCAAATCCTTCTCAAACATTGTAATTGCGAAGGAATGTCCAGCTATAAAAATTCGATCAAACCAGGTCATGTTTACGTCACGTGACTTACCTCTCTTGGAAGTCAGACTAGAATTTATTGCATACATAAGACAATGTTGTCTTTAATCGCTTACTATTTATTACAAATATCGAATCTTAATTAAATTCTCGGATTATCCACTACCCACGTCTTTTTCCGTCATTTTTATCTCAGAAAGTGTTGTATGTCTAACTCTTCATAAAGGTTATCATCTTGTACATCAAGCGCTCAGTGTTCGCGTGTGACCTTTGACATCAAGCGTGCAGAAATTCCTAATCGTCGGGCTGTTGATTAGGGGAACCCTTACATTTTTGTCCTGTATACGATCCATGAGTGTTTATCGGGGAATCAAGTATTTTTCTAGTAAGATTGGATATCTCTACTTTCCATATATACCAAAATTACCATACTTTTATTGGAAATAACCACCCGATAAAAACTTGTCTGGGAACCCATCTTTAAGTAACAACTCATTAAGTAATTATCAGAAAATCATTAGAATTTGTTTGGCCCATGCTAACGTTTAGTATACTAAACATTTAATACCATGGATTTAGCTGTTCAAGTTACCAAAAATCGTTGAAAATCAATATACTTGTTCGTCCCAAGACCTTAAACTTTGCGTAAATGGTGTATAAATATAAAATCAATCAAATGATAACTACGGTCTCTAAAGCATCCACAAGATTTTTCAAAGTGATCAAGGGCCATAACTCTGGCAGTAATTATCAGAAATCATTGAAAATCAATAGGTTTCTTTGTCTCATCACCTTAAACACTGTGTATAAATTTAAAGTCAATCGGATATTAACTTTAGACTCTAAAGCGTCCACAAGAATTTTCAAAGTGAAAATCAATAGGTTTCTTCGTCTCATCACCTTAAACACAGTGTATAAATTTAAAGTCAATCGGATATTAACTTTAGACTCTAATTTTCAAAGTGATCAAGGACCATAACTCTGGCAGTAATTATCGGAAATCGGTGAAAATCAATAGACTTCGTCTCATGATGACCTTAAACACTGTGTATAAATTTAAAGTCAATCGAATATTAACTTTAGCCTCTAGAGCTTGTGGACGGCGGACCGCCGGGGGCAACGACAATATATGACCACATTTCAATGTGGGCGTATAAAAAGTAAAGTCATCACATTGAATCCTGTATACATGTAAACCCCAAGGACAATAATTATTCTATTTCTTCAAAACATTGTGTGTGTGTGTGCTATTGAAAGGTGACTATAGCCAAGGGTGAAATGTTAATTTATTATAAACCCTTATTGTGTATAAAACTGTTATAGATAGAAAGTAACTGCCAATATGGCCTGTCTGGTGAACATGCCAACCATATGATTAATCTATTAATTGCTTTATTTACCAGTGTTTTATTTCTTATATTGTAAATTGTTACATCAATATATGCTAGTTTATGTCAACACTTGATCTTGACAAGTGGTTAGAAGTAATTCCATATAAATATGTGATTGTACTCGATACTTCAGTCTTTTAGGTTTATCCGACTTAGTAGCATAAGGTAGGCCTACTAGTCGGTTATCTACAGTCCTGTAAGTGTATGTAGATAATTATTATTGTAAGTTTCCAGTATTAAAGATTTGATGAACCATGAGTGTTTTTCAGGGAATCCAGTATTTTCTAGAAAGATTGGATATTTCTACTTTCCATATCGTTGGACTCTGTTAAATCTGACATCATACGGGATCGTTGCAATATGTAGGATTACGCAGAGTGTCGGAATACTCAGTTTTCTCAAAGCTGGAAGTATTATTGTAACTTCGAAAACCGGAAGTATTATTATAATGTAGCTTTGAATTCCCAGAACGTTATCCCTTTAAAAATGATAAACCTTTCTGTACATTCAAAATTTTATTACATTAATTTGTATTTCATTTAACATGGGTAGGCATTTTGAATAGGTCAATTTATCTTCTTCATCGTCTTCAGTTGATCGCACACTTGTCTTTGGTGTCACGTGTTCATCGATAATCTGTCGTTCTATGTCCTGGTCGTTGTCACACGGTTCGGATAGATCCGTAGTGTGAACAAACTTAGGTATTCAAGTTCAATCGACATGCGCAACGAATGTTTCCAACAGGTGCTAGGAATAATTTTACGACTGTGAATAATTCGTGGGAAAATACATGGGTATTCTTGAGTATTTGTCACAACTGTCTTACAAAGAAAGTAATCAACAAAGACCTACGCAAGCAAGTTTTAATCTGACTGATAATTGATTGGTGATTGCTTGTTAATCTTTTGTGGCTTCACACCCACCGATTGAAGGCCGGATTATACAGTGTTGATTCAATGAAAATCATGTGACGGAACGGCTGATTGATATCGTAATTCGGAATATTCAGAGTACGGATTACTCAAAGATTTTTTGGCTGAAATAATAAGGAAATAAATTGGGACATGAAAATGATGTCGGATTCATGGTTCAACAAAGTTAAACAAGGGCCATAACTCTGGAAGTAATTATTGTAAATTGCTGAAATTCAATAGGCTTCATCGTTTCACTAATTTAAATGATGCATATAAATTTTACAAAGATCGGATGATCACTTTTGGCGTTAGAGCATTCACAAGGTTCAATACATTCTAAACATCTGAGACACGCTACCTGCAGAGAAGTATCTCAGACACAGTCAATAGCCATGATATCCATATCACGTGATCTACACATCATAGGTCATGATATTGACGTCAATGGGTCATGAGGTCAACAACACGTTACATTGTAAACAATAGGTTTATCTTCAGCATTGTTTCCTTTGCACCCACAAAGACTATATAATTTGTCCAGTCCCACCATGTTCTCTCTTCTTCCAATGATTTTTCACAAAAATAACATCTACAACTTATAGAATTGACGTCGACTTCAATGACAGCGTCTGCGAATGGTTGTTCATAGAGGCAATAATGCATATGAATTTCACAAAGATCGGATGATAACTTTTGGTGTAATAGCGTTCACAAGGTTCAACAAAGTGAAACAAGGCCCATAATGAACAGAAATTATTGAAATTAAATAGGCCTTTTCACCTCACTAATGTAAACCACATATATCAATTTTAAAACAATCGGATATTAACTTTTGGAGTTACAGCGTTCACAAGAAATTGTGGACGACAGACGGACGAACAGTAGATATTGCTTGTGTGATAACTGATATATTTCATAATCTACTGCAATATCTCCTTAGGAGATATCGCTTTACATGAATTTGATTGGTCTGTTGAAAAGGAACTACTTTTTATACGCCCACATTGAAATGAATTTGATTGGTTAGTTGAAAATGAACTACTTTTATTTATTTTCAAAGAACAGTTCATTTCTTAATAAAAGTAACTTTTTTTTTTATTAAAAATGTACTATTGTTATTTAATTGACCTTGATGGAAACACTGGGCCAATATAAAGGACTTTGCAATGGTTGAATTTTTGTCGAAAAATGATGTATCACTACGCCGTAATGTAATCAGGTTCAGTGAAAGTGAAATCAATAGCAAAAAATTATATTTATTTATTTGTGCATGTAAGAAAGGATTGAGTGATAAATAAAATCTCCTACTCATTAAGTAATTATCAGAAAACCATTAGAATTTGTTTGGTTTTTATAAAGTTCTGCCCCATGCTAACGTTTAGAATACGAAACTTTTAACATCATGGATTTAGCAGTTCAAGTCATAAAGATTCATTGAAAATCAATATACTTGTTTGTCTCAAGACCTTAAACACTGTGTATCAATTTAAAGTCAACCGGATATTAACTTTAGCCCCTAGCTAGAGTCCACAAGATTTTTCAAAGTGATCAAGGGCCATAATTCTGGCAGTAATTATTGAAAATCGCTGAAAATCAATAGGCTTCTTCGTCTCATGATCTTAAACACTGTGTATAAATTTTAAAACAATCGGATATTAACTTTTGGAGTTACAGCGTTCACAAGAAATTGTGGACGACAGACGATCAATCGGATATTAACTTTAGCCTATAGAGCCAGAGCCTATTGACGCCGGAGCAACGGACTGCCGGCTGGGGGCGACAACAATA